TCACCATGGTGGATGCTGTACAGGAGCAACAGACAGAGAAACATGTTAACTAAAAGAAAGTGAAGGAGCCGAAGGCGTTGTTTGTCTTCCATTCTCTCAAAAATAGCATGGCTAAATGTGTACGCACCAAATTCTCCATTTTGCTCTTAGTTGGAGCATCTCTACCAAATAACTTCACACAAGCATATGGACTGACTTTTGATCAAGGGGTTGCCCCCTCTCAATCTAAGAGAAAGTTCTCTTGTCTCTTAAGTCCTTAAGTCAGTTCCCATAAAGTCCTCTGAAGGTTGACAGCAGACAGCATGATTGCTTCTCGTCTTTCCCTGAGAATCAAAACGAAACACATAAGCAGAGAAGCATCATGCTCACTCCTCCAAAGCCAAATTCCCTTTGCCAGACACCTCCAGTCATTGCTCAGTTGAGCTTCTTGCAGGGCCAAGGGTGGCTGAGAATTGGAATTAAAAAGGGGACACACACATTTTACAAACTTCCCTAACCAAAATAAATAGCCTTAAACACACTCCTAAATTGTCCTCCCGTTTGGCAGCAGGAAAAGACGTGGGATTAAACTCCCCACAACACATATGGTGCCCTGCTGTTATCCCTGGTCACAGATCAAAAATTGTGAATCTCACTTCAGACACCAGTTTCTCTGGAATCAAACCACAGGACCCGAAGCAAATAATCAGACCTCATTGCAGTGTTTATTAAGCAGTATGTACTGGGAGTGGAGTCTTCTCCAAAAGAATAGTGAGAAACTCATTCAACCAAACAGATACACCCTGTATCATATTCACACACTCATAATGCAGTGGGTTGTTTATATTGTTATGGTTAAAATTGTAAGCTACCTAGAGTCGCCTATGTATGAGTTGGGTTTGTTTATTAAATAAGTATATATTTATACATTTCAGAATGATGCAAAATGATGCAAAAAGGGGAATGATGCAAAAAGGAGGTTGCTGGAATTGGGTATGTCTAGTTTAACAAAGAGAAGGACGAGGGGGGACATGATAGCAGTGTTCCAATATCTCAGGGGCTGCCACAAAGAAGAGGGAGTCAAGCTATTTTCCAAAGCGCCTGAAGGCAGGACAAGGAGCAACAGGTGGAAGCTAACCAAAGAGAGAAGCAACCTAGAACTAAGGAGAAACTTCCTGATAGTTAGAACAATTAACCAGTGGAACAACCTGCCTCCAGAAGCGGTGAATGCTCCAACACTGGAAATTTTTAAGAAGAGACTGGACAGCCATTTGTCTGAAATGGTATAGGGTTTCCTGCCTGAACAGGGGGTTGGACTAGATGACCTCCAAGGTCCCTTCCAACTTTACTACTACTACTACTACTACTACTACTACTACTACTACTACTACTACTACTACTATTATTATTATTATTATTATTACTATATGCTTAAATCTTTTCTCAATTCTATGCGCCCACCTATATTAAGTAGAAAAGTCCTTTATTTTAATGTGATATACCAAAAGCAAAAGAAATGAACTAAATGAAGAATCTGTCAGCTGTTGTATCTTTTGCAATTATTTGGAACTAGTTAGAGAGTTCATATTTATCTAAATGAAGAACAGTAGAAGCGCCAGTAGAAGCGCTCAGTAGAAGCGCCAGAATCAGTGTTGTTTTCCAGCTGATTGGTGCTTCTTCAGGGCTCAGCAAAAGCACCAGGATCAGCGCCGAGCTCCAGCTGGAGCCTGGTACTGATCCTGGCACTTCCACTGATCCCTGACAGTCCCGAAGAAGTGCCAATCAGCTGGAAGGCAGCACTGATCCTGGCGCTTTTGCTGAGCCAACAGTCCTGCAGCTCCAGTCATCTCTCACTCAGGCTTGTGCAGTGCTGCCACCGGTTCAGCTCATTCTCCTCCCCCGCTACTTTTCTAGGATGGTCGCGTACCACCTGCAAGGTGCCAATGTACCACAGGTGGTACCAGTACCACTGGTTGAAAAGCCCTGACATAGAGTGTCAATGAAAAAGAAAATAAAAATGTATCTGAGCTTGGCGATTTGGCTGCAAATGTTCCTTCTCCATTTGGGGGACATCTTCAATGTGCTTTGAATTGTGCTCGTCTGTCAGAGCATTGGCCTTTAAATACCTTTTTGTGTGATGCAGCATTTAAAATGAACAAACAGGCACCCCACCACACAGCAAAAATCACAACCCCCCCCCACAAGAAACCAGACCACATCTCAGCAACAGCCAGCAAACCAAACAACCTGAAACCAGACCCAAAACCAGACCATGATCCAGAGGCAACCAAATGAACAAACACCATCTGTATCACACAGATGATACTTAAACACCCAGGACTATAGCCCAGCAACAACAAACTGCCAATCAAACATGCTGAAACTAGACTATGACTCAGAAACATTTGGACAAATAAAACCCACACCAATGTACATAACACAAAAAGGTATTTAAAGGCCAGTGCTTTAACAGATGAGCACAATTCAAAGCCATGAGTCCCGTGGGGAGAAGGGCGGCATATAAATTATGAAAAATAAAAAATAAATAAATGAATTTCTTAGGTGTTGAAGTATCTTCTTCCAGCATCACTTTCTGGACATGTCCTGACAGTTCCCCAAGGGGTATATTTGTAATTTTTCACTAGCATGCTTTTATCTAGCTATCCCTCTGCACATGGAGCCCAGGAAGAACTTCAGGATCCCCAGAGCACTTTTTTGCTAATTCTCCAGTGACTGCCTTTGATGTAAACATCAGATTGAAGCAACATGTAAGTAATCTTTTATCAGAAAAGGATAAAAGCCTCTAGTCATGCTGAGTGTTGTGCACAACATTTAGGACAGGCAGGGACAATGTCTTGAATGTACTTTCTGTCCTTTCCAGGTGAAGCTCAGTTTATCTCTGTTTGAATCAGGAAAGTCACTGGATATTCCATTTTGAATCAGGAAAGTCACTGGATATTCCATTTCCATTTCAAAGTGCTTTGAATTATTCATATTATTATTTAGAAATCGGAAGGGGATTGATTCAGCCCTATGAATAATGGACCTCTTGCTTTTATTTCTGATACTGTTGGTCTCCCTGCCAATCTCTGGGAAGCATAGAATGAAGTGCCCACTGACTTTGGTGCATCAGCATGGAAAAAAACCATGGAGTTACTACAAGCCAGGAGACCATCTCATCAGTGTAGTCACAACTGCAACAAAAGCACCACACATAATTTTGCTTTTCAACATGGCTCCTTATAGTCAGTTTCACTTGTAAGTAATTCAGTGTAAAGGAATTGCACTTCCTTCATTTGCACTCTCCTTCTTTTCTTCTTATTTCATATAGCAGGATATCTCTAATTTCTTGAATTGTTTTGATTTTTATGGCTTCCCTCTTTGTCTTATTTTGTGGAAGAGACTCAAATCCAAAGATGGGGAAGAAAAAAAATACCTGAAAGAAGTCAAGATTATTTTCTTTGACTGTCCAGTCCTGAGTTCATCACTTGAATACTAACTTTTGCTAAAAGTAGTGATTGAATACATTCTAGTTGCATGTGCCCAGACCATTTCCAGATTTAAGTAACTGCTCTTTGATATTCAGTATCTGATCCTTAGAGGAATAGATATGGCTTGTTTCTACAACTGCTTTTCTGAGTCACTTATGGAACATTCTGCTCCTTTTATGGTAGTTTGCCTTTAATGATTGAACTATTCTGAATTCTTGTTCTTGGAGAAATAGCAACAAGAAATGGAAATCACCACCAGTACAAATGTTGATATATTTGTGGCTATTAATTCTCTAGCCCATCTTTTAAACACTAATACAAATTTAATGGTGATGGTTAACTATCATTGGCCTCTGGTTTAAAATCAGTCTTGAATTAAGACTCAGTTTGTGTGTGGAGATAAATAGGATTACATTTTTTTTTAAAAAAAGTATTTTGCTGTTGCTGTTAATGATGGTGTGAGTAACATGAGCATTTTTACACTAGTTTATCTGTTGATAAGTCAAGAATACTGCACTTCATTTTCGCTATTCAAGTGATCAACAAGAATCAGTGGGTCCTGCACAATCTCACACTTGGCTACAATATCCAGGATAACTATTTGAGCACAATTGGTACTTCAGATGCCTTGCTGGACATTCTCTCTGCTGGAGAAGCCAATGTTCCCAACTATAGCTGTGGAAGGAAGGACAATCTTTTGGCTCTTCTTGATGCAGCTCTTGAAGACATCTCTTTCCAGATGTCAACATTAATAGGCCCCTACAAAGTCCCTCAGGTTTGTTTGTGTGTTCTTCTATCTGGTAAAGTTCATTTGGTAGGGGTGGTTTGGTGATAGATCCAACCATATTTTCTGTATGAAATTCAAGAGCTGCTTTTCACCATGGTCATTGTAAATGTCATGCCTAGGGGATTGGGATCGACAGTGGGGAGAGAGCAAAAATTAAAGCAGCCATATTCTCTCATGAAACCCATCTCCATTGCTTTGAGGGCTTCTGTTGTACACTTTTGAAGGTGAGAGGAGGCTGTGTGGCCATATGAAAGGGTATTCCGTACACAAAGAAGGATCAGCAGCGATTGCAAGCTAATGTTTTGTAAATAGTGTTAGCCAAAACAATGACATTGTGAATTGTGAAGAAATCTCAGATTTCTGAAAGGAAAGCCAATGGATTATCTTACATACAGTTGATAAAACATCTATGTCTTATGGACTCGTAGGGACTCTTGACTAGAATTGAGAGTGAGTAGATGAAATCTGCATCCTTGCAGAAGAACAAGCAGGCTTTAGAGAGAGGAAATATGTAAATGTAATATGTAATATGTAATTGCTTTGTCTTGAACTATCTAATTACTAAATATGTCAGTCAGTGGAAACAAAAGTGTGCTGATCTTAGTGCAGCATTTGACACCGTAAAAAGAGAAATATTATGGAGGAAATTGATTGTCCTTAAAATAGAATCTGAACCGTTGGCCCTGAGTCAAAACTTTTTCTACAACATTTCTTTGAGAGGGTGATTTGGACTCAATGAAAACATGGGAAGAAGGATTGATACTTTTCAAGAGGTAAGACAAGGGTGCATACTTGAACCATTGTTATTCAGCTGGACATTAATAACTTATCTGCACCAATGAACCAATTTGAAGTATACATATATTACTTATTTATTTATTAAATTTATTGGCCGCCCATCTTACCACAGGGTAACTCTGATATATTTGTATCATACTCATAATTTTGGTTGTGTTGGCTGTGAAGAAGACTTTGATCCTACTATCATAATACTTATCTATCATTAGCAAATCATAGTCAAAGTTTTGAAAAAGGACAACGTAACCATTGATGGCTTTTCAATGTTGAATAAATGGAGTAACACTTTTCCTTACCTAGTTTTCTCTGAGACTAGATCTTAGCTCCCTCATGAGGAAATTTACTGCTTCCATTTAAAAATGATCACAGTTATCCAACTTCCTCAGTCCCATTTATTAATTATACAATCCCAGGTTTAACCCCATGCTCTTTTTTCAAACTGAGATTTAGGACTTAAAATATATCAATACTAGAACAAACCCAATTGCCTAATCTGAGAAGTATCTTGGAGGTAGATTGTTGTTGTTAGTTGCAAAATCGTGTCCGACCCATTGCAACCCATGGACAATGTTCCTCCAGGCCTTCCTGTCCTCTACCATCCTCTGGAGTCCATTTAAGCTCATGCCTACTGCTTCAGTGACTCCATCCAGCCACCTCATTCTCTGTCATCCCCTTCTTCTATTGCCCTCACTCTTTCCCAGCATTAGGCTCTTCTCCAGTGAGTCCTTCCTTCTCATTAGGTGGCCAAAGTACTTCAGTTTCAACTTCAGGATCTGGCCTTCTAAAGAACAGTCAGGGTTGATCTCCTCTACAGGGATGTCAGCTGTTGTCCTCAGAAATGAACTGGAAATTTATATAATTTCCTCTTTGTCTAAAATGGAGGCATATACCAGCTTTATCAATGGGACAGGAAGCATAAAAAATTAATTAATAATAAATAAATTAAGGTATATGTGTGGAAGTTATGGAACCTGTCAAACTCCCAAAGTTCTGTATTTTAGAGCAGGCAAACATTTAATTAAAGATGCCTTGGTTTGTACAACTGACAAATTATATTAGGAGCTGTGGTCTCCCTTTCTCTCAGAAAATTGGAGAAGAAGGTAAAAAGGTACTTCTGCACAAAGTATCCAGGATATCGAAGCAAAGAAAGATATAACCATCCTCAGTAAAATTGGCACTTTGAAATGCATATGCCACTATATACATACCTCCCAAACTGCAAAATATTTAAATGACGAAATGCCTAAACATCTTAGGTTAGTATTACTCAAGCAAAATTTGAGGAGCTGGTACACAATGGAATATTTTACTCTGGAGATTAGTTTCCAGAGCTAGAAGATGTAACATATCTATTATCTGAATGAGAATTATGTAAAAAAGAGAGATTAGTATCTTGAACTGCACATTAGTTAGATTTATTTATTTTTATTTATTTTTATTTATATTTGAATTTATATCCCGCCCTTCTCCCGTAGGACTCAGGGCGGCTGACAATCTATTTAAAATACATACAAAACAATACAAATTTAAAATTAATTAAAAAGAATATTAAATATTTGTCAAATTTAAAATATAATTAAAACCCCCCTAAAAATGGACTCCTTGTATTAAAATAACATATTTCCTGTCCAGTCAGAATTCAAAAATTACATTGAACATGGGCCTTTATTGGAGCAAATTGGTTCAATTGAGATCTGCATATATGGATCTCGTGCAATAAGTTTTACGGGTGATCCAGAAATATGATTTGCATTCTTTATCCTTATTTTCTTCTACTTATTTCTTTTATTCAATATTTATGTATAGTCTTGTTAATGTCCCATTTTTTATATGTTGTACCTTGAAATGGACTGATAACTAATCAATAATAAATCATTTTAATATGTTCGTGGGAACAGAGTTGAATTTATAAAATGCCAATATTTTGGATTTCATCTGACCCGAAATATAACATACCATTTTTCATTGCTTTTTCAGATCAATTGTGCATTTGGTTCAGAAGCTCTGAAGGAAAAAAGTCAATTCCCCTTTCATCATCAGCTTTTACCCAAAAAAGGGTTCTTCTACAAAAGAACTGTCCAAGTGCTCCTCCATTTCAGATGGACTTTGATTGGTCTCTTTGCTTCAGACACAGAGGAGGGAGAGAATTTCATGAGGACTTTGACTCCTATGCTTGTCAAGAATGGAATTTGTGTGGTTATATCACAACAATTCTCAAAAACTGGAAATACAGCAGTCTTCAGGGATGCCCTCTCTAGATGGAGACAAGTCAATGTCTTTGTTCATTTCATAGAATTTGTTTCCCTTTTGGACAGAATTCTTCCTTTCCATTTAACACTTAGTCGTTTGCCAGGACCCATTGAAGGGAAGGTCTGGATCATGGCAACTTATGTGGATTGCCCATTTAAAAGCAATAGAATTCTCACATTTGTCCATAGTATTTGGAACTTCGCTTTTCAGGTTAGAAAATGGCGAAAAGATTATGGCTTTATGTCAGGTCTCTTTCTGGAACGCAAATATGAAGATCAGTCTTTCCGCTGTTCTTTTTCAAAGCACATCTTTTCTGTCAAAGGACGAAGAAGATGTACCCAGAAAGTGCCACTGGAGACCCAAAAGAAAAGGAACAGTATCTGGATGCACAATGACTCCTATATTCACAGTTTCATTTTGACTCTGGCCCATGCCTTGAATGCTGCATATTTATCCATATCTCAGAGGAGAAGAAAGGAGGGTAAAAATATATTGGGGGTTCCAAGGCTGCAACCATGGCAGGTATGGGGCCCAACAAGGATCCATCAAATTAAATTCTTTTTGAGAAGAAATCCAAAGGAGAAGAAGGAGAACCATCTCAACCTCCTGTTGCTAGAAAAGGCCAACAGATTTGGACAATCTAATTGCTCAGCACATAATGTTCCAAAGAGCTAGCCCAATGACAGATATATTTCAATATCAAATCCCGCTAAATTTAAAAAGGATATATGCATTTTAAAAATTGCTTTATGTATAGATTTGTGATTAAAATAGAATTGTAACTATATAAATTTGAAGGAAAACCTAAGATCACTTAGCTCAACCCTTCCTCTTTGTAGGAATCTCAGTAAAACCTTCTCTAACTGATGGTTGCTCAGTCTTTGCATTAAGACAATCAGTGAAAGAGAGACTGAACATGCCTGTTTTATTGGCTCACCTCTAAAACTCCTCATCCCATTAGGATATTTTTCTTTGTATTCTGCCAGATTCTCCTCTCTTGTGACTAAGTTCATTTTACTGTGACCCACAATTTTTATCCACTTAATTGTCATACTACCCAGCCTTCACTTAACTAGATCTCTAATCATCACATCAGGAAGTATTTTGTTTTTGGTTTTTGGGGGTTTTTTTTACAAATTTTTATTAATTTTTCAAATAAACATACAAACAAATAATACAAATATGGTGCATTTCATTAGAAAAACAAACACATAACAAGCCTACTCAGTAAGTATTCAGAAATAATCGGCGGTCCCCCCCCCCCCGCATCCACACTCCCTCAACCTTCCTACCTACTTCCCTCTTCCTTCCTCCCCCTCTTAACCACAACCTCTCCTCTTTCCTCCTTTCCAACTATCCTACACATCCCATCACCTTCTTTTCCACCACCTCGGATGCAGTTTAGGGGTACTAGCCGATCATCTCCTCTTCTTAAAGACAAACATTTACATTATATTTATAAAT